AAACAAACAAAAAAAAAACTCTTGATGTTGGAAATCTTTCTTGGGAAAGATTTTTAAGACGACTTTGGTTGCAATTGCAACAACAACAAAAAATAAACAAATGAGACTTATTTAAACTGAAAAGCTCTGTACACCTAAGGATACAACAATTTAAGCAAACAGATAATCTTCAGAATGGGAAAATATTATTATGAATAATATTATGAATTGAACAAAGGCTTGATAAGTAGGGTCTATAGAGAACTCAAATTAATCAACATAAAAAGAGCAAATCATACCATCTATCACTGGGCAAGAGACATGAACAGAAACTATTCTGAGGATGACAGACGAATAGCTAACAAACATTTGCTCATCGTCCCTGACCATCAGAGAAATGCAAATCCAAACCACCCTGAGATTATTACCTAACCACAGCGATAACAGCCCACATCACAAAGTCCCAGAGTTGCAGATGCTGGCAAGGATGTGGAGAGAAGGGAACACTTTTATACTGCTGGTGGGAGTAAACTAATACAACCTTTTTGGAAGAAGTATGGAGAACCCTCAAATAACTCAAATTAGACATTCCATTTGACCCCACAATCCCACTACTAGGTATCTACCTAGAAAAAAAGAAAATCATTTTATCATAAAGACATCTGTATTTGATTGTTTATCACAGCTTTTTTTTTTTTTTTTAGAGACAAGAGTCTCACTTTGTCACCCTTGGTAGAGTGCCACAGCATCACAGCTCACAGCAACCTCCAGCTCTTGGGCTTAGGTGATTCTCTGGCCTCAGCCTCCCAAGTAGCTAAGACTATAGCTGCCCGCCACAACGCCTGGCCATTTTTTTTGTTGCAGTTTGGCCGAGGCCGGGTTCAAACCCGCCACCCTGGGTATATAGGTACTGAATACTACTCACTGAACCACAGGTGCCACCCACACAGCTGTATTTTCAATCACCAAGATGTGGAAACAACCTAAATGTCCATCAGCCCATGAATGGATTAACAAACTGTGCCATATGTATACCATAAAATACTATTCAGCCATTAAAAAAGATGGAGACTTTACATCTTTTGTATTCACTTGGATGGAGATGAAACATTCTTCTTAGTAAGGTATCACAAGAACAGAATAGCAAGTATCCAACGTACTCAATACTGATATGAAGCCAGCAGAGAGCTAATTCACACCCACATGAGAGAAAAACTCATTCAATTCAAGTTGGAGGGAGAGAAAGGGGGGTGGGCATGCTCCCACTTAATGGACATAATGTGGAGGTGTGCCACACAGGACACAACTACAAATTGGCACTCTACGTAACAAATGCAAATATTGTAACCTAGTTGCTTGTGCCCTCACATGAACCTGAAATTAAAAAAAAAAAAAAAAAAGCTGTAGCGTGAGAAGTATTAGTAACCACTTCCACCGTACTCAGGAGCACCAAGCCCCACAGGTGTCCAGCCTCCAGAGGTGAGGTGGGCGCCCTGACCCTGTGTCCATGCTCTCATGGGTTCAGCAGTGAAACATAGGTTTTGACCACAGAAGTCTCCTCAGGCTGCAGAGTTGAGGGTACAAAGAGAGCTTTTAATACAAACAGGACTGTTTGTGCCTCTGCCACACCTCATAGACATTAAGACACTGGCACCTTCTCTGGGAGTGTCCAACCTTTTTTCTCCTCTGCACTGCACTGAAAGAAGCGCTGTCTCAAGCAACATTAAATACACAAATACTAACAAAAGCTGATTAGCCAAAAAAAAAAAAAAAAAAAGTTCATGCATAATCTTCGTGATATCTAACACCACAGATAAGCAAAACAGTCCTCACACAATCCTTGTACAGTCCAGGAGCTGCAGGCTGGACACCCCAACATGCACATGAGAAACACCCACATCATCACCAGTTCAAATTGTCTTGAACAAACTGTCCAAGGACAGGGCAGAAATGGGGGAGCAGCCATAGCACAAACAGTTTATAAAGGCTGCTGTCTCATGTGGGTGTGGTTTCTGGGGCCTCAGTGCAATTGTCAGGCCACCACAACAGACAGCAATAACGAAGGAGTCTGAAACACTGGGAAAATTATCAGAATGTGATAGAGGCAGGAAGAAAGCATGTCATGTTGAAAAAAACAGCACAGAGAGACTTGCTTAATACAAGGTTGCCAGAAACCTTCGCCTCATAAAACATCAAAACAGCATCTGCAAAGTGCAGCAAAGAGCAACAAAACAGAGTCCACCATAAACTAACTTGTTAAGTCCCAGCTTCAAGGGACAGTGATGCTAGGAACAGCCAAGACAGTACAGACCCCATTTATACTGCACAAAAAAAGGTGACAAATTCCCACAATATACAAAATAACTAACATTACTAAAAATATTGACTGTGTTGCAGGTAACTGGACTGAATTCTGGTCATAAAAGAAACTCAGGTGCGTAACAATTACTAACTTGCTGGCACACCAAGGGTTCTGTGCAGATGCATGTGTTCCTGATTCACGTGGCAAACTCAGCTTAGACTGCTGCCCTGCTTTCAGAGGAAGTCTGGACACAGCTTCACCAGGTGCAGTTGTCGGGAAGCTGTACTCCCCAAGCCCCAACATGCACAACTGCACCCTCTGGCCTCTGTGCTGGACTGCCCAGCGTGCGCCTGGCCCTGTTGGAGAGCACTTACGGCCCTGCTGGCACCTCCAGGTGCGTCCGGCAGTTACCAGGAACCGGTAAGACCGGAAAGGACAAGCTCTGAACACCCAAGGTTTAAACCAAGAGCCAACATACATACACTTTATCTGCATGCAGCAAACACTTTTTAAAAAATGCTAGCTCAGCTGGGCACGCTGGCTCAGGTCTACAGTTCCTACACTCTGGAAGGCTAAGGTGGGAGGATCCCTGAGCCTTGAGTTCGAGGCTGCTGTGAGCTGTGATTGGGCCACTGCTTGCCAGCCTGGGTGACTCTATCTCAAAATAAAATAAAATACAATAAAAATGGTAACTCGATGTTGGTGAGGTCTTCCTTGTTAACAACAGACAGTATAAGTTGATAAAAGCTTTTGGGTGAGACATTTCTATGAGAACAAGCATGAAAAGTGTTCAGGTCCAGAAATTCACCGCATCTGCTCCCTCCTGAAGGAAAAGCTAAACTACAGGCAGGTTCTATGTATATGCATGTGTGTCGGGCCCTGACCCTTCAATTCCCCTGACTCTCCCTGGAGAGTTCAAGGTCAGTCATGGTTCTTGTGAGGACAGACCCGGACAGCCACCTACCCTTTAGACCCCCAAAGCAGTACCCTTCCCCATCCAGGTTGGCTAGCCCCTTATCCTCAGTCTGAACCCACATGCTGATGGCAGTGAGTATGGGTCTGCACATAGGCCCCACACTCACAGAGGCAGCACATTAGATGTGGAAGATGTCTGCACCTCTCCTAGAAGGCACAGGTAAACAGCTCTGTGACTGACTAGTTTGTTTCCCAAACCTATGCTGACCTATAGGGAAAAATAAGCAGATGTACTTGTGAACAATAGTGACACGAAGGCCATCCTGCATTGGTGTGGGCACTCACTTTGTTCGACATCTGCGGACAGTGCTGCTCTGTCGTGTGGATCAGTGTCTGGTCCAAGTCTACCATGAGCACCAGCTTTCTGTTCCGATGCAGTCGTTGCTGGTCTTCCCGTCCTAGCTCTTCAGCTTGCTACAGTTAAAAAGAAGAAATGAAAAATGAGAAAGTGTACTGGATCCAAAACAAGATACAGTTTTCTGAAGAAATACAGGACACAGATATGTCCCTAACCAAACTTCAGCTCTAAGCCAGAGCACTGGGACACGGGTTGGCAACACATATACACATGTGAGATGCCCAGCACATACTGGCCCTCAGGGCCACACCCTAGCTGCCCTGTGTTCCACGTAACCGAGGCAGCTCTGTGTGGTCTAAACCCATTCACAGCAGTCTGCCCCATAACCACAATTTAGTTAAATATGTAAACCAGCAAAAAGGAGAGTGAAGAGAGACTAGTTGTTTCTATAAAAATTTACATGGATGCTAGGAAGCAGCTCATTTAAAGTGAGCTGCAGAACAGACAAGGAAAATAAGTCCTCAAGAGAGTATGCAGAAGACAGCCACCCTGTCCTGGAGGCAGCAGCAGGGACACCACCATCTCCTTTATCCCAGGCTGCCTAGTTCTGTCTTCTACACACACATTTACACTTGTTTGAAGTTCACTAATTCAGGAAATCTAGATTAATGTTCTCTGACATTTTGTTTTTCCCACATACAGAAAAGAAAAAAGTTGGTACACATCATTTAAAAGCACATTATCTACAAAATCACAACACTAAAAAATGTTTTATCTACTTTCAAACAGCCTTATGACTAGGATAAAAAACTAGTTTTTCACGGTAAGTGCAGAAATGCTCCCAGTGTCCCCACCCCAGGTGGTGAAGCCCAGTGAGGGGTTATCTGCCTCCTGCTCCTCACAGGGACCGCAACCTAGAAGAACATGAGGTGGGAAGCCTCTGAATAGCAGTGCCCTACATGGCTCTCAAAAATATGCAGATAAGACCTTCAGAGATGAGCCAGTTTCATTTTTAGCCCTGTGCACTGGTACCCACATCCCCTCCCTACATCCACCCCTTCTGGTGGGGGGGTGGACTGCACTGCGAATGTCACTTGGGGTCTCTCTTCCTGGCCCCCTTCTCGCCAAAGCCTGAACATAGCTCCCCAGGCAGAAGCAGCAGTGATGCCTGAAGGGCCACCCATGTGTCATCTCTGCCTCACCGACCATCCCATCCAAGTGCTTCCTTTCAGCTTGCCTGGCCCATGCCCGTGGCAGTGCCATCACCTCTCAGCCCCATATTCTTTGGTTGATCACATGCCTCCCCAGCTCAAAGGGCCCCAGTGTTCACTTTGGTACTGGCAACACTGGAGACCCAACACGCAGGTGTGCAGCCAAGGACTCCTCCTGAGAGACCCCCATACCAGTTATCTGTGCTCCAGGAAGGCAGCACTTGACTAACGTCTGCGCCTGGTGATGGCCACAGACAGGGTCCTCCCGGTGAGCGATGCCCCAACTCACCTCAGAGCTCACCATCAGCTCTGGCACGCTGTGCACCATTGACACGGTTGCTGTGGACAGAGGGACCTGCTGCTTCCCATTCTTACTCTGCAGCCTGGGAACACAAGGAAGGGCTCAAACACTCGTATCCCTATTAGACGTCAATTAAGCATAACAGCATTTAACTTCTACTTTAACTGACAAACTGACATCTCAGTACAGAACTTCACCCTATTGGCAACTGTGAAAATGTTCTGCACTGTCTAAAGACAGGGAGATGTGTGAAAACAGATCTTGTGGTTACGGTCAGGTGCAGCCGCTCACACACACACAAAACATTCTGTGAAAATAACTGTAAGAGTCAGACAGGGGAAAGTGGAAAAGACCCTCAAATGTAAAAATACAAGGAAAAGAAAATCCAGCAACAACTCATGTCACCCAGCAGGGAAATGAGAGTGAGCACTGTGTCAGAGGTGGGCAGACTGAGGCATGGAGCTCACAGGTGGGCAGACTGAGGGATGGGGCTCAGAAGTGGGCAACCAAGGCACAGGGTTCAGAGGTGGGCAGTCCAAGGGATGGGGTCACAGGTGGGCAGACTGAGGGATGGAGCTCAGAAGTGGGCAACCAAGGCACAGGGTTCAGAGGTGGGCAGTCCAAGGGATGGGGTCACAGGTGGGTAGACTGAGGGATGGGGCTCAGAAGTGGGCAACCAAGGCACAGGGCTCAGAGGTGGGCAGCCCAAGGGATGGGGTCACAGGTGGGCAGACTGAGGGATGGGGCTCAGAAGCGGGCAGCCAAGGCACAGGGCTCTGAGGTGGGCAGCCCAAGGGATGGGGTCACAGGTGGGCAGACTGAGGGATGGGGCTCAAAAGCGGGCAGTCAAGGCACAGGGCTCAGAGGTGGGCAGCCCAAGGGATGGGGTCACAGGTGGGCAGACTGAGGGATGGGGCTCAGAAGTGGGCAACCAAGGCACAGGGCTCAGAGGTGGGCAGCCCGAGGCAAGGGGAAGACAGGTAGGTAACCCGGGGCACTGGGCTCAGAGGTGGGCAGCCTGAGGCATGGGGCTCAGAGGTGGGCCAGAGGAGCTTGGGATGGGGTTCTCCTGAAGAGGAAAGCCACCTTCCAAGAGTGACCCGCGTATCCACAGCCCTCCAGCATATCTGCACCATACCCGAGAACGTGGCAGGCACACTCACTTGGTGCCTCAGGAAGTAAGGAGAGAGTACACTAAGGACACAGCAGAGGGAGCTGGTGTTCCACGCCTGCAGCTGAGGTCCCACCCTGCACCCCAGAGATCAGCTCACATCAAACACCAAGAGTCCTCTCCCTCAAGGTACTTACTGGGTCAGGTCCTGGCCACACTCAGCACACAGGCCTTTCATGACAACAGGGTGGCTACATCCTTCCAGTCTCACCAGAACCGTACTACAAAACACAAAAGGGAGAGCATTTTACAATCTCTTGGTTTGTCATGCTGTGCTGGAAAGAGTGCCTGCATAACACAAAGCGGGTGCTGTCTCTCTACATGGATGCTGCAGGCTGCAAGCGCTCCCACTTCGTTCTTTCTGAATGAATGGACTTCTCACCTGTGGGTCTTTCTCATGTAAAACAAAACCAAACCACCAATTCTCTGCTGTATATAGGACAGCTGAAAATACTGAGGATGTCTACTTGGGACAGAAGACTTAGGGAAAACACAGAAATTGTCTCAAAATTAAATATTGATATATGATCCTCTTACATTTGTGATAGAGAATTTATAAAAACTAAAACTCTGTTAATTAAATGCACTAAGCAATAGATTGGTATAATACCAAAAAACAATAAACTACCTCCCGTATGTTATTCCAAGTATAGAAAATGTCCATGATTTGTCTGCACTTGTGACAGAACTATTACAATATTCCCAGTGTTCATGTAAACACAGACACGATTTCTTCACACATCTGGACCCTGGTTAGCGGGCAGTAGTTTTTGAAATGCCAGGAAATGAGAAAGCCTGACACACACCAGACTGAGGCTGTGTTGGCCCAGCCAGTGTCCAGCAGGGGGGCCTGCCCAGGGCCTCTCTGTGGGAAACCAGCCTATGCAGCCAGCCCACTGCCCGCAGAGGGGTTCTTGCCCTGAACACACACTCAGCCCCGCCCCACTCATGCACCAACTGTTCTGTTGACCCCCAGGAAACAGCTGACCACAGATGGAGCAGATGCTCAAAGCTGAGAAGGGATGAGGACAGGGGGAAGCCAGGCCACAGGCACTCCCAAGGATAGAGCAGGCCCGCCCCCCGCCCACCACACTGAGAGGTTGAGTATAGACACACAGGTCCCCAGTCTGTATCCCTAAAACTTGGTGTGCTGGGCTAGGGGAAGCTCATACCACTGCAGGAGGGTACGTGAGGGGCCTGCTCCTGGGGGGAGTGGTGGGCTCTTCCCATGAGGAAACAGGATGGACATGGATGGGTCACCTGGGGTGAGGAGGAAGGACAATGAGATGCTGCAGGGTACACAGAGGGGCTGAGCTTTCCAACACCCCAGCAAGGCCGCAGGAGCTCAGCAGCTGGGAGCAGGGGGAAGAAAAAGGGAGAAGTCAGTCCACAGGAAGCCTCTGTCCAACACATGCTGGTCCCAGCAGTTCAGATAAGAAATATTCAACCTGTGTCAAGTTTTTAACTGTTGAACTTTTTAAAGCAACAAGTATAATTTCTTTAATCTCATCAAATTACTTTACCAGGAATGAGTACGGTTCTGTAACTCATCTACCCATATGACCAGATTTTACACAAAAATCAGAGATTCTAGCAGAGGGTCAGAACTATTGTATATTCTGTGAACAAAAGGAGAAATATAAAAACACTCTGAAGACAAAACACAGAAACTTAACTAAGAGCATTAATGTCAGAATTCTAAAAATCATACCATCTACTGACTCTAGGGCACAGCAAACTCAAAGAGTCACTGGTGGTGCTAATGCCAGAGGGACCTTTATGGCATCTCTCTGTGTCACCACTCACCTCCCAGCTTGCTGCATAAGGTCAATGGCAGGTGGACACAAAAACCAGAGACAGCACAACAGAGAAAGAAAACCCCAGGGCTCTTACGTCTAGGACTCACAGTAATTCTGCAAATGGGGAAGCAGTGAGCTGCCTCTATTCTATGACGGCATCTGTGAAAAGTCCCACAGTTGGCATCACATCCTCCAGACCGGGAGCAGGAGGAATGTCTGCTCCCAACACACTTACTCAACTGTAGGTCCTAGCAGTGAGGGAGACAGGCTGAGAAGAAATGAAATCCCAAGGAATCTTCCAAATCAAAACTCTAACAAGAAGCTCAGCAAGGTCATAAGATCCAAAATCAACAGCATTTCTGAATACGAACAATGAACACGTGGAAACCAAAATTTAAAAATAGTATCACTTATGGTCCCACAGATAATGAAATATTTAGTTATGAGACCAGCAATCATATGCACATGCTGAGTATCTGAGACAGGATGCAAGAAATCAGAGGTCCCAATAAGACATGGGCCAGGCATGGTGGCTGACGCCTGTGATCCCAGCACCCCAGGAGGCCAAGGCAGGAGCATTGCTGGAGACCAGGAAATCAAGATGAACCCAGGCAACATAACAAGACCCTAACCCTACAACAAATAAAGTAAAATAAGTGAGACTTCACATGTTCATGACTAGAAGACTCAACACAGCATACTTGTCAGTTCTCCCAAACTGATTTGTGGGTTTACTATAGTTCCAATCAAAATCCTAGCAAGGCTTCTGCAGGCGCAAACAAGCCTACTCAAAAACTTTCCCAAAAACAGCTACAAAATTGAAGAACAGAACGAAGGGAGTGTCTGTACCTGCCCTCAAGATGCACCATGGAGCTGCAGTGAGGGACATCCAAGGTCAGTACCCCTAGTGCTCACCCAGTGACTTCTGATGTAAAACTGGACAAAGGACAGTCATCTTCTAAGTGGTGCTGGAGCACCAGACAGCATTTGACACCGTACACAAAAAGTCAGACTCAAAGTAAAGACATAAACCTTATTTTAAAAAGGGGAAGTCAGGCGCGCCTGTGGCTCAGAGGAGTAGCGTGCCGGCCCCATGTGCAGGAGGTGGCAGGTTCAAACCCAGCCCCGGCCAAAAAAAAACAAAAACAAAAACAAAGAACCTGTAGAAAGAGGAAGTCTTTGAGGTCTTTTTTTTTTTGAGACAAAGTTTCACCCTAGGTAGAGTGTCGTGGTGTCACAGCTCATAGCAACCTCAAACTCTTGAGCTTAAGTGATTCTCTTGCCTCAGCCTCCTAAGTAGCTGGGACTACAGGTGCTGGCCACAACGCCTGGTTATTTTTTGGTTGTAGTTGTCCTTGTATGGAAGGCCCGGGCTGGATTCGAACCTGCCAACTCTGGGGTATGTGGCTGGTGCCCTAGCCACTGACCTACAGGCGCCAAGCCAGCCTTTGAGGTCTTCAATGAGGCAGAACTCTTAGCCTTGTCACCAAAGCCAAATCCAAAGAAGGTGAAAGTGATGAAATGCACCTCACCAATTAGAAACTGGTGCTCAGGAAATGCCCCAAGAGGACAAAGGATGAGCCACAGATGGGTGAGATCTTGGGCACTGACAGTACTGAGTACCTGAAAAGGGTGTCACATAGCCCTCCCCATCTGTACTCAGCCTTTCATGGCCTGTTTTTCAAAGAGCAATTTTTAAAATTTTGATGAAGTGTAATTTATCATGTTTGGGTTTTCTTGTATCTTTATTAAGAAATCTTTGCCTTGGCTTGGCACCTGTGGCTCAAGCGGCTAAGGCGCCAGCCACATACACCTGAGCTGGCGGGTTCAAATCCAGGCCTGGCCCGCCAAATAACAATGACAGCTGCAACCAAAATAGCCAGGCGGGCGCCGCTAGTCCCAGCTACTTGGGAGGTGGAGGCAGGAGAATTGCTTGAGCCCAGGAGTTGGAGGTTGATTGCTGTGAGCTGTGATGCCACAGCACTCTACCCAGGGTGACAGCTTGAGGCTCTGTCTCAAAAAAAAAGAAATCTTTGCCTTTCCCAAGGTTAGTAAGATTTTCTTGAAAAGTTTCACCAGTTTATAGTCCTGTGATCTATTTTTGAGTCATTTTTTAATATGGTACAAGATAAAGGTCAAGGAATTTGTATTTGCATACATATTGTAACATATGGTATCCCAAAAGTCACCCCTAAATTCACCATTCATAGGTAAAATGTAAAAGCTAAATGTACCTTTATTTACAAAATAATCATTATAAATTTTTTCCCAAGAAGCAAGACTTCTTGGAGAAATGGCTGATAACAAGTCTGCAGCCAGGAGAGCAGGAACATAAACATCACATTATACCAAAAAAATAAGGCAGTGTCCTGAGACTCAGCCTGGCAGGGCTCCCACTGGCCAAATCTGGGATAATTTGAGCATTAAGGCCAATAATTATAATGGGTATAACCCACCAAATGAAAGAACGTGTAAGCCCACACCACTAAGTAGACATGTTATCATTTGTTCTTCTAGTAGAATACCCACAGAAAATGGTGAAGGAATGCTGGAATGGAGAATGTCACCACTGCACAATCACCTCAGAAATAAGGAGATTTGGGCAGGAATCATAAACATGCCAAAACGGTGTGTCAGAGTGTAGTGCGAATTTAAGATGCTTACATAGTAATAAAGTACCTCTCATTAAATACTTAATTACAACAGAGAAACTAGTAACTTTCTGCTACAGAAAGTTACCACCATAACCCACTGATCAACATTTAACATCACATGGCTGAGATTTCTGTCCTGTGAGAAGGCTTCATTGCTGGGGACAGACCTACACAAACGCTTAATCACAATCTAACCAAGCGCTGCTGTGCAGAACTCTGGCTCATAATGCCACGGGAAAGAGAAGACAGAACAGGCTCATGGTGGCCAGACATGCCACACAGGCCGTCTGCTTTCCTTAGGAAGGCATCGCTGGACTATCAGGAGACTCTGTAGGGCAGGACACAGGACTGCACTGCCGCTAATTTCTCATTTTGAGAATGGTACCACGGTTACCTAAGAGAAGATCTTTGCTTTTAGAAAACTAAAGTATTTAGGAGCGAAGTGACATATCTGCAACTTATTCTTCCAATCTTTAGAAAAACTGTGTGCCCTGGGAGAGAAAGATAAAGCAAACAAAACAAAAGTTAACAGTCAGGAGGTCTGGGTGAAGCTTATGTGAGAGGTTTTCTCTAACTCTGAAATTATACCCAAAGAGAGCGTTAAAGGAAACAGTGCTGTTAGTCCCTCTGCTGGGACCGCTGTCGCTGCACCACTCCTGGCCAGAGGAATGGACTGGGGCCACAACACACCAGGGGCAGTCACTGGCACAGGAGTCACCCAGGGCCAAAACAGACCACTCTGCATACTGGGCTGGCCGGGCTCTGGTG